TATTTTAATATTCGCATTTTTTGACTCACTCTTCTTATTGCTTGGCTTTGATGAGGGTCGTCGCACGCAGACCGCATGTCACAGTGCCTGTGAATATAAAGTATGTATGTATGTATATTTAAAACTTTACTGAGGCCGCAACAAATACTATTATCACTATTTTAACGACGACCTCCATATTTTGCATACACATACGTTATTTTTGATGACTATGCCAAACGTAAACCAAAATAAAACTTAAAGGTACATCATCAGGGAACTGACTTACAAGTAATGTCACTCATATGCTACGCATGTCCAAATGTGCCCCACCACGTACATACTGGTATACCATAACATTCGTATATATATGTATTTTTAAATATGCAAATAACTAAAATGTTTTTATTACAGAAAAGGAATTATGAATTTACATTTCGGACTTCGTAAAAGCTGTCAGTATGTGCTGCTAGTCGGCAAACTAATAATTCATCGCACATTTGACGTTTCGTTTTTCCGGTGGTCAAAACATATACATAAAGGGTATCCCAAAAATAACGCTAAATTGGCATTAAATTGGTCATTTAGTTGTTGTGTTAATTTAATTTTGTAAGCATAGAGACACAGATCTTTAGTAAGTATACGCTGTAGAGAGCTTCTTGAAGTTTGCAATTCTTGTCTGCTTGTATATTGTCATTTGAACGACTTGTTTTTGGACAAACAGTGTGCTTAGCGTCTCCAATGGATCCTGTCTACCGGAATTTTTCATTTTCATTAATCTCGTTCACAGTTCCAACGATATTTTGTATGAAATTTTCGAAATTCGCGGCAAATTTAAATCTTGCGTAATTTTTGGGACATCCTGTATATAGTATGTGACACTTGGTTTATTTAATTATTGTATTATTAACTCTACCGTCTTCGTTGACTGAACTTCCTTGATGAGTACTTAGCTTGCCAAAACTACCGTTTACCAGTATAAAAATGTAACATTTTAAGCAGTTTATACATAATAAAACTAAAACTAGACTAAAAAAAACTATTTTAAACCAAAAAAATTAAATTTATGTTTAACAAAAAAATAAAAATATATAAGTGCTAAGATTATTCTCAGCCGGAATCTGCAAACCTTTATTAAAAATATGACGTGCACTCAACATATACAAAATTAGCTCCTTTGCCATATCAATAATACCATAAAGATATGAACCCATTCTATTGCATCCTACAACCTTTAGGTGAGAGCACCTATCTGAGTGTGTGAAGGATTACATCTATCAAGTTTTATTAAGATATATCTGTGTTTTTACTCAACACATTCCGAACACCGCATTGTTCCATCAGGATGACGATCATTTCGATATTTACATGTGTTCAGAAAATAACGGGAATGTTTATACTCTTGCAACATGTTTCTACAGAGTATACTAGATTTGTTCATCTAACGGTTGTTTGAATCATCTGACACTCATCGAGATAGACGTAGGGGTATATATAAATAAATGATCAGGATGCCGAAACGAATTGAAATCCAGAGTTCTGTCTGTCCGTCTGTCTGCCTGTGCAAGCTGTAACTTGAGTAGAAATTGAGATTTTCAGCCAAATTCTTTACATAATATTCTTCTCATACTCCCATGTTACATGGGCGAAATCGAACTACAACCCGTCTACTTTCCATATAACACAATTTTAAAGTCCATCCGATTCTTTCACTTTGCAGTATGCAAATCAAGCACCAATGAATGTATCGGGATAAATTTTGCACGAACAACACTTTTACTGAATGCCACCGTATAACCAAAAATTATGAAAATAGGACCAAAAACTGTTCAAGCTCCCAGATACCGAATACATCGACCCCAGTACTTATAGTTGACTTTTAATGAAATGAAAATATCGGTAAATATATGAGGTATGTTATTGAAATACGGAACAAATCCTTCCATGTTAATAGTTTGTCCGTAATTCAAAAATGGGTTGAATCGAGTCAATACTTTCCTTAGCCCCTATATACCTTATATTCAAATTTTTTCAGGGTGACGTTTCCGGTGTCACAATGAAAATGAGAGAGCGTGTTTTACTCATAGCAGTGTATATTAGTGAATAAAATGGATTAAATTGTGGTATTGGCAAAAATTTATAAAATCGGGTCAATACTACCCTCCCTCCCATATACTGCTTATAATGACTTTCGTTATTCTAACATATTTTATGAGGAATGCATCGATCAGTGAGTATTATTTACATATAAAATTTTTGAAGCAATACGTTCTTTAGTATACCTGAGCAATGTCAAAGTTAATGCAATCTTTATGCAATCCTTTTATCTGCCCCCCATATAGCCTACATAAAAATTTCCGACTTCCCACCTGACAAAATGGGGTATACTCCAATCAAATTAAATGAGAAAGTTACTACATTTGTATTCAATTCAGGCCTTGGAGCAAAATATCACGCGTGTCATTCGCTAGCTGCCAGTAGCGAAGTAAAATATAGTAATAACACTATTTCAGTCTATGAAAGTCTAAGAAATTGAACTATTTCGCCACATTTTTTAATATTGCCAACTCTGAATGTATTTCCCCGGCTTTGATATTTGCAAGTTGCAAGAGTATAAAATGTTCGCTCTTCCTTACTTGTTAAATTTAAAATTTCGCGGGCTGGGATAGTCCAATTGTCAACATTTTGTTTTTGCTTATGTACACCAAAAAGAGACAACACACATTATTATATAATAATATATATATATATCTATATAATATATGTTTTATATCTTACTTTAATTACAATTTTTAAATTAATTAAAGAAATAAAAATTATATTATATTCTGCGCAAGATAATTTTTTACTTGTGATACTTACAAATTGCAGCTATGATAGCTTTTCAGTCATTACGGATAATTTTCAGCTTTGACATATTTGTGGTCAACATTGACTCAGACAAAAGCATCAGAGTGAGCAGTATAAGTTTTAGCGCAAGGCCCTTAAGAAAATGATAGAAACTTTGTTTTGCGCGCTGACAAAATGTTTTCAGCTGCGACTGTCAAATTACCAGTCAGATGACTGTCACTGTTCTTGTAGGGCCATCAGTCTATGACTACACACATATGTGTTCAAATACATATCTACAAGCTGGTTGAAAAGTTTCTGTGCTCAAAATGAAAAAATACTGTTTTTGGTACGAAATATAGTTTTTTATTCAATATAATCTCCCTTAACTTCAATACACTTATTTCACTGATCCTCCAATAATTTTATGCCATCGCTATAATGAATTTCCGGAAGCTCTGCAAAATACCTGTCAACGGCTGCAATAGCTTCTTCATTCGACGAAAACCGCTTTCCACGAAGAAATTGTTTTAGATTTCTGAAGAGGTAATAGTCGCTGGTCGCCAAATCTGATAAATACGGTGGATGCTCAAGCAATTCGTACTTTACTTCGTTGAATTTTGTCATTGTTAAAACGACTTTTAAAACAGGTGCAATGCTGCCATAATCTTCTTTTATGATCGTTGCAGGTGAAGTCTGCTTTGGAGCTAAATAACCAGCTTCAGTCCACCGTAAACGTTCTTGTTCCAAATAAGGATCATGGTGGTAGATCCAAGTCTCCTCCATAGTTATAGAACGACGCAATAACTCGATTTTAATCTTCTTAAAATGCTCCAAATTATTCTGAGAAATTAGTTTTCAATCCAGTTTTTGTTGAATTGTTAACGTGCACTAACTTTCCAAACAGCTTTCTCATATGTAATACTTCATGTAAAATATGAAGTACTCATTCGTCTGAAATGCCTATGGCACTAGCTATTTCACGCTTAGTCAAACTTGGATCTTTACTGACAATATTATGAACTTGTTCAACGATATCTCGTGTGGTTGTGGTTTTTGGTCGTCCTTCGCGTGGATCGTCTTCAAGCCTAGTACGACCACGTTTAAATTCACCAGCTCAAAATTCAATGGTGCGTTTTGAAGGTGAAAACTCCTTATACACTTCTAACAATTGTTCATAAATTTTCTTTGCTTTGAAACCTTTTCAAACAAAAAATATTTCTTGGTGAGAGAGCAAAAACTTTTCAACCAACCTGTATATTTGTGTCTTGCTTTGTCGGGGTTTAGAAATTCCAGCGGACAGCTTAGATGGTACAACCATTAAATATTTATGCCATAAAAGGGAGAAAATTATCACTGTGGTCGCTTGTTTTAACATCTGGCAATGACATTATTTGCTACACGCTTTTCCTTCGTTTATTATTAGCTGTATTAGTATAGATACATATACTCGTAATTGTGGGTGCGAGGGTGTATGCAATACCTTCTACCAGATTTTTGCTTCATTTGTGTCACTTCTATTATTATTTATCTTACCTGTGCCCTGTGTATGTTATGTACCTATGAACTATATATTTGTTTTATAACAATAAAAACAAAACAAAGGATTAAGGCGGGTCTATCTTCAGGCTCGAATAATTTTCACATCAGATCAGAACGGAAATTCTACAGCAAATGTGATCTGAAATAAAATAATATTTAAGAGGAATCAAACTAGAAACCTAGAAACCACTTAAACATTATTATATTTCAGATCACATTTGCTGTAGAATTTCCATTGTTCTGATCTCTGAGATTTCTTATCGCTATTCATTATTCGATTGATGTGAAACAAATAAGTCTAAATTATAATATCTTTATATGTGTTGGTAATGTGATCCTTGATAAATTGTTTGTAAAATTAGGTATTTGTCATCTTCATACAGACGGAGTTATCTTATTTATTTTAATCAGAGTAAGTAAGCGATTACTCGCTGAATATCTTAACAATAAATCTGAAGCTCTAATGTCGTCTATGAGAAATCTAGGCTACCAGTGGCGTGCGCAGCCTTTCGGTGATTAGTCAGAAAAAGATGATTACATTGACTGATCGCCTATTGCACTTCAAGTTTTTATAATGGTTATAGTACACAGACATTATACTAATTCATGAACAATTTTGTCCAAAACTCTATAAGAAAAACAGTCGTGTATGGGGATCTGTACACAATATATTTTTTTAATTTTATCCTGTATATACATATGTAAGTATATATATGGTATATATACTTTCACATGCATATTTCTAGATTAATATTTATGTAATTGGAAATAAAGCATGTTTTCTTATAGATTATATATTACTCTAACACGAGATATTAACAATGTTTGAATGACCCCTTCCACTTCCTGCAATTTATTCCGCCAAACAGGCTTCAATGCGTTGCTCGAAGGAGAATGCTAACATACCCTTGGATTTAGTGCACCCCGTGGGTCCGAGCAAATGTAGTGCAATATGATCGCGGCAGTTGATTGCTCCGTTACCATCACAGTCGCGGGCATATTTGCTGGTGTAAGCAGTCACAGCACGTGTTGCACAATCCATGTTATTGACACAATCGGTGTACACTTAAAGAAGAGTTGAAAAAGTCAGTTCTATGTAATTATAAGTACGTTTATTGTTAAGTGATGTGTGAAAGAAAATAAAATGTGCAAAGTGTTAAAAGCTATTCACTGAGAGCGCGAGGGTTCATACCAAATGTACCTGCCTATCACCCTACGCTAAGTTAGTCTATGCCTTGTATCCGCTTTTCAGTTAACTTCTTACCGTCAGAATTTATGTTCTTATATAATGAATTTTATGGCTCCGCGGGGAATAAAAGGGCTAAAGTTATTGCCGCAGTGATATTCGTTAGGTTCAAATAAACGAGAATTATTAGAGGAACTTTAGAAAAAGAGCTTTACTTTCACAGTTTCTCTTCTCTTTCGTCCGCTACCTTCAGCGAATAGTTTCTCACTGAACTGATGGATCTGTATATAGTCTTCTTAAGTAATAATTACTCCTCTTAATGCTTATCGGTCAAAAATTCTTGACTATAATTTTTATTGTGAGCAACCTGAGATTAACCTATCTTGATGATTGTCATTTTGTTTCGTCTTTTGGTTTATCTATTCTGGCAAGAGCAGCATGATTCACACTCTCTATTTATGGAATGCGGAGGTAACATGGAAATTCGGTAGCATTACCCAGAATATTTTTAGTTCAAGGGTTGAAAATTCGTTAATCTAACATTCACTTTTATAAATATTATATATGCATGTCTTTATTATTCATACATACATACAAGTAGAAATATCAATAACTATGAGCTACGTATAAGCTATACAGTGATGCTTTTCGCATAAGACCACAACATTATGCCACAAAAAATCTGAAATTAATAAGCAATTCAAACCACATTTACTCAGGTATTGATAAGCTTGTTCACGTATGGTATATATGTAAGTGGCTCTGTATGCAATGACTAAATCTGGATATTGGAAAACAGTGGACATAAAGACTTGCGTGCTTATGCATTAGAAGAAAAAAAGCAAGGTGCACCTATTACAATTGTCTAAAAAATCTTTAAAAAAAATTGCGTTTGGAATTTTACCCATTATTAAGACTACCGAAAAATATAAAATGTAGTGGAAAATGTATAAGAATTTGGATAGTAATTATTTAAGTTCAAACAACACCATAATAATTAATTTTCTGCTAATGTTCCGACCTTATATAAGCCATTTATAGTCGGTTTTTTTTTTATTTGTTATCATAAAATATTTACGAATAAACTTTAGTAAAGTTTAGAGCTCGCTTGACAATTAGAATGTCTAGTTTTTCATACTCCGGCTAGTACAAAGTATGAAACTGGCATATTATGTCTTCGAAACGTTCAGAGTTTAGATTTCTTGCCTTGTTCTTGCGCTCTTCATAGTTTTTCAATTTTCATAATTTACAGAAATACGTGATATAAGGAGAAACTACAAAATAATTGAACTACCCTGCACTGGTGTGAATATTTCTAGGACAATGATATTTGCAGTTGACTTACTTGTGTTAACATTGCTTTTGCTGCTCTCGTCGTCATCAATTGTTGGCTTGCCGGCATCCAACCAGTAAAGGTGTGATATGCGAAACACGCCACAATCCACATCGTCACGACATTTGGTTGGGCGACACAAGTTTACCGTCTCGCAAAGGCATTGTATACAAGCTTCGGTAATTTTCCGTGTACCAGCTTCTTGGGTCCAGGATGTCGTCGATGTGGCAGAGGTAGTCTTGGTAGAGATAACCGCCCTTGGTTCGTGTACAAACAGTCTAGCGGCCGTCGGTGGAGGACGGGAGGAGAATGGGGTGTTGTTTTCTATAGGAGCTGATGCTGCGGATGTTATTGAATTTGTCACTTATTAATGTTTGGATCTTCAAACGCATTTTATATGTATGTGCTGAACTTGTTAATGGCTGTGGAAGTTACTACAACATGGTCATTATTACCCTTATTAATATCAACGTTATTATTCCAGTCATTGGCATGCAGCACTGTCACTGCTTTAAAGGTTGAAATATTTCAAAAGAACGGTTGTTATGTCAGTACTGAGTACTGTTCAAAATGGAGATATTTATCATACATCAATGATAGTGATGCAATGGAATGCTTATTAAATGCTGAAGTTTTTTTATGCAGCCACAGCGGTAAATAGAGGGGAGTGACATGAGTCAAAAGATGTATTTTTGTTTTAATGAATTTAATGAGAATATTGATTATGAATGTGCACAATTGTCAAAGTAGAATAAAAACTGGCTTTACTCTTTCCTTTAAATTGCTAATAAGCACGCAACAAAATTTTGTAACATTTCACATAATTATAATGTTACATACTTGGATGCATTTAATCTTTAAGATTTTTAGAAACAAAAAAAAATTATATATAACATTTAATAAACCACCTCCATAAAGTTATTTTCACAATGTAAGAAATACTTTCAACATTTGTAAATGACGCTGTTAGAAAATATTTCACTTGTTGTTTTTCGTTTTGATGAGGATTCTCGTCCCCTTTTTAAACATAATTTAAGTATTTGGATTACTTGGTGAAAAAAATCAACATTACGCTATTTATGCGATCCAGAGATGGTAAAATTGCATAGTTTTTAGTTTAATGTGAAAAAATTATGTCTCTAAACAAGTAAGATTTTCCAAAATATTAACAGATTTAAAACAACAATTAAACTAATTTTACCTTCTAATTAAACTTGACACGGACTGACAAAAAAACGGTATTCACATCTTTATTATCGCATGCAAACATAAAAAATAATATACAATTTTCTACACACTTGTTATAAGTCTCGGAGGCCCGTTCACAAAGCTTCGCAGTCATATTTATAAACCCACGTCTCGCCAGCAGTAATAATATGTTTAATGAACGTAGGGTCCTCAGTTACGTGGTCAAACCAGAGAACTTAGAAGTTCTTCTAAGAAGCTAGAAGTTCTTCTAAGTTCTCTGGTCAAACATCTCTTTTGCGTCAGAAAAGAGAAGTTGAGGTCCTATCTATCTCTGTGCTGAACAGAGTTTGGTGGATCTCTCGCATGATTCAAGTTTACGATAATTTCACAATGTTTACTGAATGCCTTATGCCATTCAAATACTTGTGTTCCGTGATCCCATTGTAAACACAACATTTCAACGGAACTCCATGTTCAATAATTTTTTCCATGATAAAAATCACTAAACAAATTGCACCGTAAACAAACAGTGGCCAAGCACACTCCAATTGACATAAGGAGATCAAACTTCACAGAAAAATAAAAAAACCAAACTATCAAATTTTATCGTTTTGGTTTGCACTCGCAATTTAAACGAAACGGCTGGGTCAAATTCGCAAAATAAAACTAAAACAAAATTTTCTAAAAACCTTAAACTTTTACTAAAAAATGTAAGACCTAATCGAAGTGTAATAAACCATTGAATAAAAAAATATTTTTATTCAAAATAACTATGTAAACAGTTATACAATTTTGATCAGTAAATAGTCGGCAATGTCATTGATTGCAATATTTTAATAGATTTATGTGGTATAAATTCTCCGTTCTAGCAAATTGATAAACAACTGGCCAACAACAAATCCTATACCTATACCTATATTACAATAACAACCAACCACAATAAATAACAACCAACAACAAATATGTCAGCAGCAATCATATAGAATGCATCGTAAACACAGTTATAACATCGCCTACAGTCATAAAAACAAATACATTCAGCAAGCCTGTTAGTTCCTACTGTCAATTGCTATTTTTAGATTTATATTTCGATAGGTTGAGCCATCATGTTAGGTGCTACAAACTTACCAACGCCTGGCAGGATGCGAGATTTCGTTTCATGATGCAAACGACCAAGATGCGACTTCTGACGTAAATGTAGATAAATAGAGCCACTAATCAGCAAAAACGCCACAATCAGCGATGAAACTGTACAAATGCGGGGCCACTTCATTTCCGAAATGCGATTATGCTGATTGTCGCCTTTGGAGTAATTTCGTGTGGCAGCGCCATCCCCACCTGTGGTAGGAATAGCAGCTCCCGCATTAGCCCCTGCTTCGAGCCGAACGCCATTAAGATCTGCATTTTTTGTGTTCATCGCCAATGAACCGCGAATGGCATTGTTATTATTGTTGGCTGCAGCTGCGTTGGTACTGGACAGTGCAGCTCCAATGTGGTTTATCGGTCGAATATTCACTACAAATTTGGTGTCTGCAGTTAGTTTCGGTTTGTAAACGCTTTCGTGTACGGTTCGCATGGAGACCCGAGAATATTACCGTTAGTCAATAACAAGATATTATTTAATATTTACACCTAAATTAAAAATTTTGCGTATAAATTAACTTATTGTCGCTCCGACCAGTCTCAAAACGTCACTGACGAGTCACTACAATAGCTGCTCTACTCAATCGCAAAACGAATTATTACTGTAGCTGTTGTTTTTTTTATGAATCTTTTTTTTGTTTTTTGGTTTATTTTTTTGCTTTCGCTGGTGATAACGTCTAGTGTTTGTAAACATGTGATCATGTAGTAGTAATTGAGATGATGGAAATAATAAAATATTGCTGATTTCCACGGCACAGCTATTGATGCCAATGATCGCACACTTGACAAGCCTAGCTTCACAGTGTATATAAGTATTTACACACATATGTATGTGCACATACTAAACGTACTAGGTTATACTCACTTGTATGAACTTTCATGGGATAATCTAATTATGATTTTGTAAAACATTGATAAGAAATAAAGTAGTGTTGGTCCAAATTCATTTTGTTTTATGATTTTTATAAAAACAATGCCTTTTTAAAAGGAAGACCACTTATTTTCCTATAAAAATAGAAATAAAATAAAAAATAAAACATGTCTTAAAATTACGATTTCACTGAATTTATTGTGTTTTTTTTTTTGTCCCACATATTCATATGTATGTAGGAATATATATGTAATACAAATAATATCAGCTAAGACGGCGTTCAAACGGGGACTCTTTTTTCACTCATTTTCGACAAATTCTCCTTTGGTGTCGCTCATTACCTTCACACGAGCGACACGAGACCGACACCTTGAGTCGGCTAATTTTCTGCATTTTTTCTTTTCGATTACCTAATTTTTATCCTTATTTACCTTTTTCTAAATATAAATAATAATATTTTATTATTATTTATTTTTCGCTTGAAATTTTTTGGTCGTTTAATATTTAATATTAAATATGAGCAAATATGATTTCTTGAAAACTCGAGTTTGGAGAGAATGTGATATACTCTATGTTGTCGATTGTAATATACTTGTATGTATACTAAAAATATGGTGCATCACATTTAACATATAGCTCATTCTGTTAGTAAAAGCAAGAATTCTTTATAAGTATACCTTTAGGCTATGCCAAAGAAAGGCGAAATTCGCAAGTCGGATGGATAAAATATGAAAAAGGCTATCAAGGCTGTAAAAAGCAAAAAGATGGGTGTGCCATTTGCAACGTTACAAAGAGCTGCACGCAGTTATAAAGAAATCAATGACATACTAGACGTGGGATTGGGACGTAAGCTTGTTTTTAACAAGATGTGAAAGTGAAGCTTGTAGGATATTTGAAAGAAATGAAGCAAAGTTTTGGGGACTAAAGTGACGTCCACTCGGCTGCATTTCAATTAGCAAGGCGAAACAATATTGAGAACCAATTTTTTGTAATCAAAGAATTAGGAAAGATTGATTGCGTGGCTTTCTAAAAAGGAAAAAAAGGGAAATAAGCTTACGCAGTAACCCTGGTACTTCTTTAGACAGGATAAAAGGATTTAATATTGAGAATTTGAGCAAGTTCAATAATTTATTGGAGCAGCAGTATGAAATATAAAAATATTTTCCAATTCGGATTTGGAATGTCGATGAAACTAGAGTTTCTTTCGTGCAAAGTAAGCAAACAAAAATATTCGCTGCAAAAGGAAAAAGATAAATCGGGTACATGACATCAGCAGAAAGAGGATCTCTCATAACAGTTATAAGTTGTATGAGCGCAGGCGGGTTCTTTGTTCCACCATTCTTTTTATTCTTAAGAAAAAAACCATCTCCTCTTTTAGTTAAACATGCCCTAACTGGTGCAGTTTCTGCTTGTCACATATCGGGATAAATCCAAATTCCAATATTTTATCGCACTCGTTGCACAAATTGCAACCTTCTTCAAATGTACTATTATTTATCCATTTGATAAAAACATATTATATAAAAGGTCATCGAGCGAGACGGATAAAAGCTTGCATTTACGGAGTTCGGATGAAGTATTTTGGGCAGAAGTACCACCAAATAAGGATACGAGGGCTGCTATATAGCTGGCTGGCCTAGGCAACACTAAGTGTTGCCAGGTGCAATCTGACATTTCCATTGGAAAGTTTGACATTTTTTAGCATAACATCACTCAGAACGTTTTGTCATTTAATCATGAATTGTTTAATTTACAGGGAATTAAAAAATTCATCTCGGCAAAAAAATGGAATTAACTCGTGAACATTTTCGTGCGATCATTTTTCACAACTTTCGACGTGGATTATCACGACAAGAGTGCATCAATGAACTAAAATCTTTGTATGGCTATGAAGCACCATCCTAAAGCATTGTGAAAAACTGGTACAACGAATTCAATCGTGGCCGACGCTCGCTCAAAGACGAATTCTGTGAAGGTCGTCCAAAAACAGCCGTTGTGTCAGAAAACATCGATGCCGTACGTGAACTGATAATGCAAGACCGTCATGTAACATACCTTCAGATAGAGGCATGCCTATGCATTTCTCCCACCAGCATACATTCGATATTGCATGAACACCTGACCGTAAAAAAGGTTTGTTCTCGTTGGATCCCGCACAATTTGACAATCGCTCGTGTGGATTGGTGTAAAGAAATGCTGAAAAAATACGATCGCGGTGCTTCAAAAGACGTTTATAAGATCGTCACAGGTGGATCTATGCGTATGAGCCGGAAACAAAATAGCAACCGACCGAAAAAAAAAACCATTTTCGTTGATAAATATTCGTATTTTCATTATTAGGTCAGAAAAATATATAGCAGCCCTCGTACTACGTGCACTTTTTGCAACAAATCCTATGAAGCATCTGAAAAAGACAAAGCGTGGGTACCATGTTTTCAATGCGACTTAGTTTGGGCACATAGCAAATGTCTGCCTAAACGTCAAGCAATATTTGTATCCAAGTTCTGTCAATTACTTCAAAGTTATAAACTTGTAATCTTTTCTGAATTCATGTACTTTCCTGACCACTCAAAGTCTCTTGCTCCGTTTTTGTAAATTTTTCAAAAAACGTATACTATCATTTTTGTTTTTAATAAATGGAATATCCAGCAATTTGTCTGCAATTAACTTTCTTTAAGAAAATAAAGTAAAGCTTGTGGGTAATGTGGTATGCTATATCACTTTTCCTGATATAGTATAACACATTACCCACCGATTTTGGCGAAACTATTGTACTTTCCTGACTATTTAAGTTATTATTGGAACATTTCTCAAACTACTTAAAATATCGAAATTGTATTTTGACATAAGCTGCGCGATCAAACAGTAATTACTATGCATGATTGTCTGTAAAAATAGTTCTAGAATGTTTAAGTTACTGACAAAAATAATATATACCTACTTGTATATTACATTACCCCAACTTACTCTACTCGTATAATGGTTTTCGTTATTCTACAATAACAAAAATTATGCCGAAGATGAATGGTCAGTGTGTGAGTTATTTATTTATAAAACTGCTTGAAAATGCGTTCTCGAGTATATATGAGCAATGTTAAAAGTTAATTCACATGCCAAGACCTTTGTCTCCCAAAATATATCCGGTATAGAGAATACCGACTTTCCAACTGATTTTAAACCGTATAGGCTGGTAAAAATGTGAGAGTTCTTAAAAATTATAAACTTATATTAATGGTTTAGCGCTAACTATGAATAGAGTTGGTCTAGACCTTGGTCTAAGCCTTATATCCCTAAAATAAGCAACTGCCATCCTCTGGTTGACGTGTTCACATCAACTCATTATATTTATTAAATTTAGCTTCCTCAATTGAGTTTATATTCCATATATCTCATTTGATGATGATTTTAATACAATTTTAGCTGACGGGAAGTAAAATATAGTAATAAAACTAAGTGAGTCTATGACTTATAATATAACTCAATAAAATATCAAATTTGATTGTAAACCATTCACGATTTCATCGAATAATGAGTGTTGAATGCTTTCGCAACATTGGAGCTATTTCCTGGCTTTGGTCCTTGCAAATTTCATAAATGTATGCCCGATAAAATATACATATGTATAAGTATTATATAAAATGTACATAAATTTGTATTGGTAGTTAATATGATAAATACACGCACATAAATTAATTGAAATGTACTCATTTGGAAGTAAAACTAAAAGTCTTATATACAGCACTTTCCAAAGTGGGAACAAATAGGCAAGTAACAAATTGGTTTAAATCAGAGTGATTTAGTTTGAAATAAGTAGACTGGGAATTTTAGAAGGACTTCATCGAAAAATATTCATACTTGTATATACTTGTATATGTACAAAATAAGAGGGCGTAACCACAATTAACATACAATTTAGTAAAGGAAGTCAAAGAATTGCTCAGACACAAATATTAGGTAAAGTAAAAAGTTCGTTCGGTTTTTTATTGATTTTTCAAAAAATGATAACTTTGTGTACATTTGTCCGATTTAAGTCAAATATACGCCGTTTTGTTCGTAAACTTGTTGCCAACGAGATGCCAACTTCATTATACCCCTCTCGTAGAAGACTGCGTCCCTATTGCCAAAAAACTCGGAGAGCCAATTTTCACAGGCTTCTCTTGAGGCCAACTTCTCACCATTAAGCACGTTCGCCATGGACACGAAAAGATGGTAATCACTTGGTGCCAGGTCCGGACTATAAGGTGGGTGCATTAGAACCTCCCATCCGAGCTCCAGGAGCTTCTGGCGAGCCACCAAAGACATGTGTGGCCTGGCGTTGTCCTGATGAAACACAATTCGGCCTCTGTTTGATCAAAGATGGCCTCTTCTGGATGAGTGCTGCCTTCAAGCGGTCCATTTGTTGGCAGTAGAGGGCCGAATTGAGCGTTTGGCCATAGGGGAGCAGCTCGCAGTAGATGATTCTTTGCCCATCCCACCAAACACATAGCAAAAGCTTCCTGGCCGTCAATCAGGTCTTGGCCACCATCTGGGCCGCTTCTCCGAGCTTTGACCCCCACCGTTTGCGCTCGATGTTGTCATAACTGACCCATTTTTCATCGCCAGTCACAATCCGCTTCAGAAACGGGTCGATTTTGTTGCGATTCTGCAGCGATTTGCAGATGGAAATTCGATCCATCATATTTTTTGCGTTAGTTCGTGTGACACCCAAACATCGAGCTCCTTTTTGAATCCAAGGTTATGCAAATGGTTCCAAACGGTTTTCTGGCTTATCCTTAGTTCCTCAGCAATTAAATAAGTGCTCACGTGACGGTTTCCACTATTTCCATGATTTTATCGCAATTTTCGACGACAGGCCTCCCGACGCGCATCTTTGACATCGAAATTACCGGAACGGAACCTAGCAAATTACGTTTGTGCTACACGTTCGTTTACAGTATCGGGCTTTGGCTGCTTTTTCGCTTTGATCGAAGAAAAATTGTAAAATATAGCGAATTTTCTCTTTGTTGGTGTCCATCTTTGACTAGCGCTCAAAACGAACTGAGTAAATCAATCGAAAAACTGTCAAAGATACACTTTTAGCGCGAATAAACACGTTTTCAATGCCGTATAGTATGGCATGATGCGACACGTAACACTAGTACTATGGACAATAACGCCATTTCTTAGATAAAAACCGAACTTTTTACTTGACCTAATATAATATAATAGATATTTAACTTATTTACCACTTCTAGTTCTCATATAAGTGATTCTTGAAACCTTGTCTTACTTGCAAAAGTGGATTTTCATTGCTACGAAGTACTGCTAGGGTTTCAATGAGCACTGTTTATTTTCGATTTCCTCTGAATCATTTTACATTATTTTCAGGTACGTCCACTTTAAAGTGAGTACCCTTATACTAATAGATTTCATGACGTCCATTCTACCCTAATATATACACATGCAACTTGGAAATGTGTCACACAACAGGTGTAGCAACAGTTAGTCAAGCGAACGTGCTTATACAAGTAGGCTAGAATACATTTGTATATTATTGTTATACGATTTCGTTTGGAATTTTTTACACTCACATTTTTTGCTCTTACTGTGGCTTTGCAGAAAGTATTTCCATTTCCGCTCACGTACCACAGCTTGGACAACAACATCGCTATTTTTGTTCGCAGTTGGTGCTTACATATGTATGCCGTGTATGTCCTTCACATTACATTTACAGTTATGCCAGTGAAATGAGCGAATAATCATAAGTGTACTTATATGCAAATATTGATCGAATGGCAAGGCATACAGTCGTACCACTTTTATTAAATCACTGCCAGCGTTTGACAATTGGTTTGTGTTCGGTTCCCTTTATAACAATGTTTCCCAGGCACCTGTCGATATGTCGTGGCTACAACTTTTGCTATCAATGGTTCTGCATTTACAGTAACAATGCCTGAAACAATAAAAAAAAACGTGTGGACATTTGCAAATGAGTCACCTTTTATATTAAAAGTTGTTATAGTTGGTTGGTAAAAAGAGAGGTCGCAAAAACGTTCGACTGCAAGTAGCCGCACTTAAACTATCATTAGACGCATAGTGCTTCCTCAGAAGTTGATATAGTTAAGGACAGTTTTAACTTCCTATTATTTCTATAAATACTTTAGGGGTGATAAAATTAATTTATATATAAAAGTTAGGTTCGGATGTAACGCTTGCAACTTGCAAGAATCAAATGCCTTCAGGTGCTGGTAAAACTTCATATTAAAAATGTTGCGAAAGAGTTTAGCATTCAATATTCGAAGAAATCTTGAAAAAATTATAAACAAAATTGGTATTTTCTTGACTTATATTGAAGATCATTAATTTATACCTTATTTTATAGCTATATTTAAGACCGCGTCAGCTAATAT